AGGGAATGGTAAAATTGCCCTTGGCTGAAAATGGCTACTTTGGAGGTAAGGTGTTTTGTGTGTGTGTATTATTTATGTTGTTATATTTATATTATTTATATTGTTATATTTATATATTGTATAATGCAATTTTTAAAAGGTGCTTTCTGCTAACCAAGGAAATCAACTCAGAGAAGTTAAGGTATTTACTAATGGGGTGCGTGTATGCGTGCGTGTGTGTGTGTGTGTGTGTGTGTGTGTGTGTGTCTATCACAGCACAGAGGTCAGAGGACAACTTGTAGGAACTAGTTCTCTCCTTTCACATGTGGGATTTGGGGATCTAACTCAGGTTGTCAAGCTTGATGGCAAAAACCTTTATCCAATGAGCCACTTCAATTTCATATTATGAGTATTTTAGAAAGATTCTTTTATCTTGGTTTTGAAAATGGTGAGGATAAGAAAGAAATGATGTTAATGATATTGGGGGAAATGTTAAATTATAACAGGAGGAGCAAATAATGTTTCAGTAGAGAACTATGTATTAATCATTTAGTCAATTAAGTAATGTTTTATTACTGATGATAATGTGTTTATAAGTCATAGGCCGGTCACATAGCTAAGCATTAATCCTTCAGATCCACTGATGCATAGCCCTACATAAGCAATCAGATTGTGTGGTTATCCCTGTGCACTTGGAGGCCTGTCTTAAAGATGCAGAAGAGGGACATGTGCATCTAAGACCATAGTTTATACTATGGGGGCAATAGCTTGCAATATACTCTTCTACTTAGATTCAAATTCTCATGCAGAGGTCTTGAATCCACCTCAAATGAGAACTTAAAATGCAGTTGGATGGGCCATACATTTTTTAAATATTACTAATCACTACCTTAAAAATAGCACATTTATACATAAACGTTTCTCTACTTAAAGACATAAGCAATTTTACATCATTTTAAATGCCATTTAAACAACAACTGATGAATAATGATATAATAACAAATGTCCATCTCTTAAAATTAGATCGGCAACATTGTAATGTTTCTCTTGCATCTAGTTAAGTTTCCAATGCTAGGACAGCTACCAACCACTTCTAAGGTAGCATTTGCTTGTTCTCAGGAATAGGCAATAAAGCCATCTCTCTGTTCTTTGTTACAAGGTGCGTCTTACACATGCCAAAATGTGTGGGAAATAGCAGCAACCTACCTCGGGAGGTGCTGTTTCTGTTTTGGGGCAGTGTGTACATTAAAATATGATCTAGAACTCATTCCACAATTTGAAGATCTGGGCCACCAAAGACATCAACAAAAACGCACCTGTATGTGGACAGTCTCAGCGGGAAATCAGAATTAAGTTAAGGAATAAATGAAAGCTATGAAATTTTCCTACTACCATTTAAAAGACTGCAACATACATTTTGACACTTTATAGAGGGTTTTCCGGCTATAAATGAGATATTTTAAGTAATTATGTTAAAATAAAAAATTTGAGTTAGAGGTATGAAGGATTAAAAAACAAAGCAAACAAAAACCCCAACAGCTTTTATCGTCAACATCAGGCTTTGAAAGGGAATAGGAAGACAAAATCTCCAAAAGTCCAAACGGACACACAAAAGACTGGAGCCTCATTGTCTTCCTGCCTGTGACTCCCACATGCAGCACAGCGCCTTTATTAAGGAATTCAGATAGATTCAATTACTACATTCTTAAAGCCCCTGACTATTCAAAATGTGGCTAGCTGGGGGGAAACACACCATTATTTTTTTTTCAGGCATTGCAGTTAAGAATGGTTAAAAGCAGGCAATGAAAACCTAAGATTGGAACTCAGTGAAAAGTGTATTGACTTCTAAGCTCCTGCGTCAGTGTGAGCTACTGTACTGTATCTAACTGCCTTTCTACCTTAGAAAGGAAAAAAAAAAAACGTTGAGTGCAGAGGCTTGGCAAACCCTATGTACACAGAAATGTGGTACTATCTTAATCTGAACAGTTATCTGCCCTGAAGCTTTACCTCTGCATAGTTTTCTCCACGTTCTGCCCCCAAACTAAAACTGACAGCAGAATCGACATCTCTGGATTCTTGGCCAGAACTAAGCACTGATCTCTCTGTAAAGCGTGGGGTAGAAGGCACCCCAACAGGCTTGAGGCCGCTGGCTGGCATGCTGAAAAGATGAAATTAGATAATGAGGGGGAGTGAAGATTGTCACAACGCCCCCACGTTCTTTGTTTTAACGCCTTTCTTTTCTTAACGTTAAGAAAAACCAACCCAAAGGTACAGCTTTCTTCCTGGCAAACGCTGGCTATGAGCGCTTGTGGGTGGGGTGAGGGCTGCGTTTTGTACAACTGAGTCATTTCTAAGAAGCCCACGAAGCGGGCCCCCGCCCCGCCTTTGTTTTGATGGGGACTTGGCCCACTCATCGCTTCCAGTTTTTGTCCAGGTGAACAAAGGTGATTCTAAGGGGCCGTTTATTTCTTTTGAGTTAACAAAATTAAGGCCCAGTCGAAGATCTAATCTCCCACCCCAGAGCTCAACCTCCAATCTCTGGGTAACCAGGCACCTGCCAAATTCTCACTGTACCTTCTGAGACCCAGCTTCCTGATGGGACCCAAACACGCACAGGCAAAAGTATCATTTTATCTCATATTTATGGAGCTGTTGTTCAAGAAGTGGGCAATGGGATACATATTAGGATTTCCTAGATGGAGGGAGCCCCTTGGCTCAGAAAATTAAAACCAATTTCTAACAAGGGTTAAAGGCAAAAGGGCAGTCCGTGTCGTCCCTGCCCAGCAACCTGCGACCTGTGTTTTTTCATTTTGTGCGTTGCCAAAGAGTGCTGGGGACACGCGGTGGCCGGCCTGCCCTGGGCCTGGGAGTGGCTGTAGGTCCAGGGAGAACCTCAGCCCAGTTTCCAAGAATATGGGATGGAGGTGAAGACATTCTGCCTCCTTGCGAAAAGAGAAAAGGCCATGCAGACCCGTTCGGGCACGCTTGTCCTTCCCTGCCCTGAGGGGGAAGCTGCTGTTTTTCCGTAGTCCTACTCCATCTCTGCTTTGTCCTCAAGGTCCCTGGGGATTTTCTGCGCTGCGGATTCTCCTTCTCTTCAAGGGTCCTAGGACCCCTGCGTGCAACGTTTCTCATCAAAATTTGTCCTTGGGACTGACTCAGAAGTCGCTCAGAGGCAGAGATGATTTGTGCTTCGTCACTACCCTCTTCATTTTGCCCCTATCCTGCAGCACTTCAAGAAAATGAGCTCTTTGGATAGGCAGCCTCGCTGCTGAGGCGGCTGGCAATCTCACAGAAACGCTGTAAATGGTTGCGGGGCCTTTCCCGTCCCTTCCCCTCTGCTACTTTTTTTTTCCGAGTGAACTGTGAAGATCTGTGAAAATAATATCAGGGTTTTCCGTCAGAACGAGCTTTGCCCTGCACTCAGGCGTGCTGTGATCTGACCCGACACATCCAACCATCTGCGCTATCTATCTGCCTTCTGATGCACTCGGTCGGTACACGCCTCACACAAAGTGTGCTTGATACTAAAGAAAAAACATCCAGGCCCAGTCCGGGGCGGGGTGGGGGGTGTGTGTGAACTTTGATTTCTTGGGACACCTTTCCCCAGTATCTCCTTTCTACCAAATAAGCATCATCAAAGGTCCACATGAGATCTTGGTTTCCTAGACGGAAGCTGCAGAAATCAGTATGATGTGAATGTCAATTGGGAATCAATAAATGTTGCCGATTCAATTTATTGGCCAGAAGGCAGGGTGCCAAGAAGGCCCATCCTCTCCGCGGGAGGGGTCAGTGCCCCGTGGCTCTGACAACTCTACCTTGCCACCTTCACACACAGGGTACAGTAGAACACAGCCGTCCCCTCCCCCATTTTGCTGTCACTGAACTGCTTCTGACCTTAAAAGCCAAGATTTTCGCCTCTAACCCAGGAGCTGTGTGTTCTAACGCTGGGCAGAGGCAAAATCAGCCTGCCATGAGAGAACGAAATATCTACGTTTTTAAAAGATCTTTGAAGCAGGCTTTTAAGTTGCTGTCCTGCCCTACGGATGACTTCTCACTTTTGATGTGGCTGCTGCACATTTATTTGTTCAAGTCCACTGAACTGGAGAGGAGAACTATGAAGTATAACTTTATTTGGGTCAGAAGCCCCTACAGCCCGCCTTTCTTTCTTGGTGTTAGACTCCGTGGTTAGCACCCTAGACTTCCAGTGTGTGTCATTTGCCACCGCCGTTTAAAAATAAGTTTCAGGAAGCCTTTGAAGGGGGTGAAGTTAGAATCCAAACTGACCTCTTCTACAGATCTCAGGTCCTGTTCCTTCTGTTCCAGGTTTGCTTCCCGCTCAGCCGCTTTTGCAGCTGGAAATGGGTAAGCAGGAGACAGACAGGAATTGGTGCCTGGAAAAAAAAAAATGAAGATACACTTCCCTCCCTGTCCCTTTGGTGCACGAACTCCCCTCGGGGTTAGCCGCTTCGCTATGATTTCTTTTTCCCAGTCCTCTTTGTCCTCTGAAGTCCTTTCGACCCAGGCATTGCGTCGCCCCCAAAGTGAATTCCTGCAGCATTCTGCCTCTCTGGTGGGAAAACAAGAGGGAGGAGCCGAGGAGGAGGAGTCGGGAGGGTGAGACGCTGATTTTTCGCGTGCGTTCCAGCCACTCCTACCTCTTTTTCATCCTTCGGGTTCTGTTAAACCCTGAGCAGTCTCCCGGCAAACCGCGGGCGCTGTCGAGTCTGGGGAGGTGCTGAAATGGCCGGGGCGCGCTAGTGGCTGCCTTGATTGGCAGAGCTGCCCGGTGACTGACAGGGGGTCTCCATGGCGCCCACGTCTCCAATCCGCCCACCCCAGTAGCGGCGCGGGCTAGCTGACTGGCGTGCCCAAGCGGAGCAAGCCCAGCCGAACCCAACCCACGGCTCTTTCCAGGCGGGAAGGCTCCCCCCGACTCTGTAGCCCCCCAGCCGCACCCCGCTCGGCCTGCGGGCATCTATCTGCTGCGTGTTCCTGCTCGGGGCATCCGCGCAGCCTCGATGTTCCAGCTGCCCATCTTGAATTTCAGCCCCCAGCAAGTGGCCGGGGTATGCGAAACACTGGAGGAAAGCGGCGATGTGGAGCGCCTGGGTCGCTTCTTGTGGTCGCTGCCCGTGGCCCCGGCGGCCTGCGAGGCCCTCAACAAGAATGAGTCGGTGCTGCGCGCCAGAGCCATCGTAGCCTTCCACGGTGGCAACTACCGCGAGCTCTACCATATCCTGGAAAATCATAAGTTTACTAAGGAGTCGCATGCCAAGCTACAGGCACTTTGGCTCGAAGCGCATTACCAGGAGGCAGAGAAGCTGCGTGGACGGCCCCTGGGGCCGGTAGACAAGTACCGGGTAAGGAAGAAGTTCCCGCTGCCCAGGACCATTTGGGATGGCGAACAGAAGACGCACTGCTTTAAGGAGCGCACGCGGCACCTGCTTCGAGAGTGGTACCTTCAGGACCCGTATCCCAACCCCAGCAAAAAGCGCGAGCTCGCCCAGGCAACTGGACTGACCCCCACGCAGGTGGGCAACTGGTTCAAAAACCGCCGACAAAGAGACCGGGCGGCGGCAGCCAAAAACAGGTCAGTAGTACCCAGAGGCCTCCGGGCTGGGTGCACACCCGGAGGGGGCAGGAAGAGGCATTCGGGGCGGCGCCCTTACCTGGTGCCTGGATTCAGTGGGAGTTGGGAGTGCCCTCTGTCTTGAGTTTATGAAACCCACTGCGTTCTGGATTCCGGTGCAGGCTCCTGGTTCCCCACCATCTTTCTTGTTCAAGAGGCTTTGGGGTCACTGTAGCAGCGGCTGTGGGTCACTAAACCAAGGTGTCACCTTAGGGCCCGGAGAGGGAGAAAGATTAAAAGCCCAGAATCAATTCGAAATCCAGAGGCCCAAAGCTAATTCTTGCTAGCGTGGACCCAGGCTCTTATCAAGTGATTCCTATCTAGTTAGTTTTATTTTTAAAGGCCGGCTGCATCCCTCCCTGATGCTCTGAAAAGGTTTCGGGTTTTGAGGGTGTAAGAAGCGGAAAGACGTGTTTCCTCATCTCAAACCGACCATCCTTGTCTCAAACCGAGCAAGCTAGTCGGCCTATGCTTTTCATTCTCGGTCGCGTGGATTTTACATCCCAGGTCCAAGCTCTCCTGCAGCCTCCAGGCAGTAATTTTTTACTTTGGCTGGAATAGACCCGATTTGCCTCAGGCATGAGCCCTGGACAGCTGTACTACTAGGAAAGGAATCCCGTGTTGAGGAGCCTTATCTGTCCCGCTTTGCTTTCTCTGACAATCCCCCGGTAAATCTCCCCACGGTGGGTGGCAACCCAGAAAGATTCGGGGAGGCTAAGAAGGAATTCACGGGGAGCCGACAAAGGGCATGAGGAAGAGCAAGGCAGCTAGAGGCGCGGCTGTGCATGCCCAAATCCTGTAGCCTCGCCTTCCCCACCTAATCAAGGTCTGAGAAAGCGTAGCTGGGGAGAGGCTGGTCCGAGAAAAGGAGAACCACGTAGCGGTTTGGTTTCTTGCAGTGACCGTGTCCCTTCCTTCCTCTGTAGACTGCAGCAGCAGGTTCTGTCGCAGGGCTCCGGGCGGGTGCTACGTTCGGAGGGTGACGGCACGCCGGAGGTGCTGGGCGTCGCCTCCAGTCCGGCTGCTAGTCTGTCCAGCAAGGCGGCCACTTCGGCCATCTCCATCACGTCCAGCGACAGCGAATGCGACATCTGAGCTGCCCACTCATCACGCTTAGAAACTGCATCCAGTGTAAAAATGAGGTACACAAAGGGAGAGAGGATGAGACTAACAAATATAGCGCTGGCAGAAGCCCGGTGGCCAGGAACTCGCGGGCCTGAGTGGGTTCCTGCTCCGCAGCCAGCCGGCTCTAGCCGCGCTCTTCCATCGCGACTCAGGGCCCGCGGTGAGGCCTGACCCAACGCCAGCCACTTCGCTTTGCTTTTTCTGAAGGATCTGGCTGCAGAGACCTCTTTGGGAGGAACTGCATGCTGAGCGTCTGCCCTCGAATCTCCTGCGGGTATTTTATGTCGAAAGGACGCTGTTATATATGTATAACTTTTGCTTTGAAGGTTTTTTAAAAACAAAACAAAACATATATATGGTGTTTATTTACTTATTTAAAAGACTTCCATAATAGGTTTCTCTGTAGCTTGGGGAATTTGCTGTTCTAAATGAGCAAGCTCATCGCATTCTGTGTGGAGAAGCCAAATAATAAAACAACTTGGTGGGTAACCTTTCTTAATTAAGAGAGCACCTATCTCGGATTTTTTTAAAAAATCACTCTTATTTCCTTTACCAGATATGAAGGATGAAATCTTATCCAAATAGTCTCACCGACTTCTCTATAACCTTTGATATCTCTCAGTAAACTACCACTGATAGACCACTAACTTCCTGCCACATTGAATTATGTGTATATGTATGTATATGTATACATATATGTACACATAAACACATACACATTAAACCTAGGATTTGGAACACAGGCATGCTATCTTTATATTCACCACAAAGGCGATCAAGGTTTGTTCACCTAATCATTCTTATGAAGTGTTAGCGATTTTCAAGAGCAATTTGAGAAAACAAATTCTAGACTCCGGTAATGAATCCTGTTTTACAAAAACGCAAAGACACGACAACTTTAAAATAATAATAAAGTGTTTTCATTTCATTTGAGGTCCACTTCCATTCAGAAGCAGTGGGCACTCATGATCATTCATGGCAAGCACACAGGGCATGTAGAATTGAGCTTTTATTGAGAAAAATAGGAGAGGTTGTCAGTAACTAGACCTCTTTCTGCTTCAGAAGTGGGCTTTCGACGAGTACATGATTTTCAACAAGAAAAATACTAAGATAGGAGACGTTATGCAACTAGGTTATATATTGACCATAAAGCAAGGCTACAGAGAAATGACAGGCATTTCCTAAATCAATGCTCCACATTCAATATAGAACAATTTATGAAGACCGTCATTGTCTTGAGAATAGCCTCAGTTAAGATATAAAATATACTTAGCATGCAATTGTTCTTCCTGCAAACACACAAAAACCATGTTCATTCACACAGAATCTACCACCTTTTTTGCTAAGAAAATAAATGATATCCAGGTTATCTAAGATTTTTTTCTTCCCTAGTGAAATGGATTTCATATTACAAAATTTGACACTTATCTTTAAGTCACCTGGGCTGGACTTCTCACTCAGTTGGGGGCCTTTTAATTCAGCCCTCTGTTCTTAGAAGGTGCTCCTTGGGTCAGATGCCTGCTAACATTTCTGGAGGCAAAGCATGCCAAAGTACAAACACATGAAAACTAAAGTTGAGAGTGACAATAGGCGGTGGTCAAAAGGCAATTGGAAGCCCAGGGCATGAGTAAGGGATGATTTTTGTTTCTATAATTGGACTACTTTGGACTTTGTAAAATGTAAAATGTTCCTTATCCATACTATTCTTGACAATTGAAACTCATAGCAAAAGGGCACTGGCTTGACAAGTTTAGGGTCCTTTGTAATCAAATAGTTAATTCCCAAATCAAACAAACGCCTTTCAGTGGCCCATGAAAGATTTCCATGGCAAAGCTCTCTCCTTTGCTTCTTAAAGCCTCTGGTAGTTCTTTGGATGCCAAGGGGCAGTCTGGAACTCCAGAGACCAAACAAAGGGGGTGGGGGACACCAAGAGTGTTCACTCTCTAGGTCGCGTGAGGACAAGTGCTAGTACCTGAAATTGTCTCCTTAGTTTTGCAGCCTGGTTGTTGTTGGTGTTGTGACCCTAATCCCAGCACTCTTGAGGCAGAGGCTGGCAGACTGCTGTCGGTCTGAGGTCAGCTTGGTCTACAGAGTGAGTTCCAGGCCAGGCATGGCGACACAGTGAGACCCTAGGCTCTCTTGCCTCACCCTAGTCTAGAATCCACCCAGCAAGACTGTTTTGTTTGTTCTTCAACCCAGGCTCTCAGTCTTACCATCCGGCCCCACCTCTATATCGGCCATGGGGTGATCCAGAATCAGCACTTGGAAAAAATTATTGACAAATTTTATCTTTTATTTTTTTGGTCTCAGGTGTGTATGCGGTGTGTTTGAGGGGGGGCTTGTTAGTGAAATGATGTAAAAGTATTTGAGCTTCTAAAAATACCAACCAACTTGCCAGTACAAATAATGCCTGAAAACATCCACTCTGCTCTCCAGAAAATAGTGGAACACTTGGAGGAACTAAAGCTTTCTCTGTACAAAATAATTTTTAATGATACTTGCAGAAAACTAGAAGGCCTAACAGTGAAGGATCACCACCCCATCTGTTAAAGAAGATATACTGTTTACCTAAATTAACAAGCTGTCCAAGAATTACATTTAAAGTAGCTATGATGTTTCAATGACGTGGTTTATTCATCTAATTTCATGTTGGAGTCTTAGGGTGGTAACATTGTCCGAAGGATGTTTTTTGCATGTTTACCTGAAATCTGGTGACGCTTAATTGATTTGTGATTAATCAATTCTTCGAATGACTCTAGGTGGGAGATTAGTCTAGATCCTCACACAGAGACTTATTTAATCACCCGAATCTGCCCATAAACGTGTATTGTAAGAATTTTCTTTAAAAATTTTTTTAAATCAATTTCATGCTGGCCTAGAGAGCCTTAAATTCCAGGCAGCAGAAAGGCTCCCTCCGTTAAGGTTCTGAATTGAGGAGACTGTCCACACATACAGCACATTTCCGTTCTTCAAGTCTCCTGTCACAGTTTCCGCAAAAGCAATTAGTCCAGCACGGAGGAGAGAAGCCTTTTACATTTTAACAGACCTGACCGAAGCCAGGATTTTACCTCAGTCCCAACTCAGCTCTTCCATGGCTTCTCCAACCACCCGGAGTTCCACCCCAAAAGCTCCCCAAGGGCCTCTGCGCTCCTTATCTCCCCGTAACCATCTAGTCGGCGGCCACCCCAGCGCTCCCCACACCAGTTTGTTTATAAAAATCCCGAGAGAAGAGGGGAGGGGAGCCCAGGCTGGGGGTGGGGGAGGGCTTGCTCTTTGTTTACATTAAACAAATGACAGGCAAAGAGCTCCTGCAAAGTCTTCCCTGACCTCCTTCTCTCTCTCCAATTTCCACAAAAAGGAAGAAAATATTGTATCCGAAGAGCGGGTGAATGGGGCGGGCGGAGGGGAGCCGCAGCTCCTCGCTCTATTCAGCCGGGACCCCAGCGCGGCCGATTTCCGCTCCCATTGTGAGGCGGGCGGCGAGGACCGGGGGTCCGCGGGGCGGCCCGCGGGGCTGTCAGGCGGCTCAGCGTAATCAGGGCTAATGACAGCGGCCTGGGCCCCGCAGGACAAAGCGCGGGGCCGCGGGGCTTTGTCGGCCTGAATGGCTAATGGGTTTGCCCGCGGGCTGCGAGGGGGCGGCGGCGAGGGGAGCCCGGGTCATTGTCCGCGCGCTGGTCCGGGCGCGTCCCCTGGAGCTCAGCGCGCGACCGTGAAGCGCCCCGCGGGCCTGCTGGGCCTCGGCGGGCGGAGGACGCCCGGGTTCCCGCGACGGGGCGGTCCGGTCCTTCCTCTGGGCTCGGCCTGACAGTCTGTGCGAAGACTCCACTGCGTGCACCCACCTTTTGCGCACGGCGCCCCGGGGAGCTCTCTCGGATGGAGGCCTCGAGCTGCTCCTGCTCCTGTCCTCCTCGAGCTCGGGGACAGAACCCTCCCCAAACTTGGGGACCCAGTTAAACAAAACCCAGGTGAGAGCAGAGGCTCGAAGACCCGCAGCGGCCCGCGGGCAAGTGCCCTGGACTGGGCTGCGCTCCCGGGGCGCGGATTTGGGGCCTTCCTGAAAGTCTGGGCTGCGGCAAGGGAGGCCTGAGCTGAGCTGCCCCGGCCTGGGCCTCTGGCCTCACTAAGCTGGAGCCATAGTCAGGGACTGAGGGAGCTGAATTTGCAGACACTGGGGCTGGGAAAAGGCTCTACTCAGGGCGCAGGGAGAAGGCATGGGTGCGATCACCCACGTGCTGGATAACACACACACACACACACACCTCTTTAGGAAACTGCTACTCCCTCAGGCTCCATCCTGCCTTGCATTTTAGGAGTCCTCTACCTTGAGACAACCAACTGGTCTCATTTTCCATTCCCCTCCATCTCCCAACCCAAAGGGTTGTGAGCAACACCCCAGAGAGGCACAAGTAGTTGAGAGACCCCTTACCTCAGTACACTGTCCCCTATGGTTAGGTGATTTGTCTGCCCGGATGCTACCCCATACCTCATCAGTCAACCAGGCTCATAACCTTCTCCAACCCTTCAAGTCAGTTGGAGCTTTTGAGCTTGTAATGTTTTTAAGCATTCATTTCATTTGTGTAATTCCTTTCCCTTTTCAGAGTTGAATGGAAGTCCCCTAAGGGCAAGGCTTGACTCTCATTCCTCTTTATTCTCCCAGTGTCTGCCCTGAGCAATAGGTGCTCAATATATATGAAACAAAACACTGCATGAATTACAGTATCCTCCTTGACCCGAGTCTGTTCTACACAGCTCTCCTTCGTAATGCATTTGAACAAGCAGAGATAACTGATACTAGCTGGCCTCCAAGCTCATCCATTCCTTTGGGTTTGGATCTCCGCTATTACTTGTCAGGTCCCTGGAATGACTTTGAGTGGTTTTTCCGGGTTTTATGGTTTAGGGTTCATAACATGAAACCCATCTTTACACACAACTCATTTTCCAGACAGTATGCCTTAGGTTCCAAAATTTCTTAGCTGCTATTCTTTCTCAACCTGCCAATAAATTGTCTGATATTTTTTGTAATAGGATGATAGGACCCACTATCTGTTGTCTGCTGTGCTTTCAATGCTGTGTCCCTCCACACTGAGACTTGATTCCCGGTGCAACTGTATTGATGGGTAGGACCTTCAGGGAGTGCTGGAGTAATTGAGTGCGCCATGCCTTTGTTAAGGAGCTTGGGAGAGAGCTGTGCCTGTGATCCGAAGTAAACCCTCAGCTTCTACTCCAGAGCCATGACCCCCAAACTCTTCAATGGGAACTTGGGGAAAATAAGAATTCAAAAGGCAAAACTGCCTTTGCTCGTGGGAAAGACAGAAAGACTAGTGGTGGTGAAACCTGTGTATATTTTCCCGGATTTCTCTTCCTTTGCCAAGCTAAGCCTAGAGAGGCCTGAGTCTCTAAGGACCGCATCCTGGTCTGGAGCTACCCAAAGATGAAGGCCAGCCCTGGTCCTCTACCACACACTGTGCC